TTGCGCACCCAGATGGCCTGTCGCAGAGCGAGATGCAGTGATGCTTCACGCCCATGTGCAGAAGCATCGTACGCACGGCCTCGACCACCGTGCGCATCTCCCGCTCGGCCATCCCGTTCTGCTGCGGAGTGTAGGGGCACGTCAGATTGTGGAGGATTCCCTTGTCCTCGACGAGGTCGGTGAAGGCGCGACCGAGGAACTCCCCTCCGCGGTCCGAACGCAACTTCTTCACCGTCCTTGACGTCTGCCGCTCCACCTCCTTCAGCCACTTGTCGAAGACGACCAGCACGTCGCTCTTCTTCGCAATCGGCCTCACCCAGACGTAGCGAGCCTTCCTATCCTTCAAAAGCAGGAAGTAGAGGCTGTCATCGGTGGCTGCTACTCGAAACGGTCCGCAGAGGTCGATGTGCACCACATCGAGCGCGTTCTCTGCATCTGCGCCTTTGTCGGGAAAGGTGTGCCGCGCAAGCTTGCCGCCGACGCAGGAGGCACACAGCAGATTATCTGCAGTCGACTTCTTGATGTCCAGACCGGTGGCGACCTCATGCTTCGCCGAGCTCTTGATCGCGTCGATGCCGACATGCGCAAGGCGAGCGTGCAACTTTCCCGGGGTAGACTTCGTCGCTGACTCGATTGTCCGCAGAGCCACAACCTCCGTCGAAGTCGCCGTCGACTTCGTCGAGCAGGGGCGCAGGTCCGTGCAGAGCACTCTGCCAGAATAGCGTGCGCGACCAAGGACACCAGCAGCATCTCCGCACCGTCGTCCTGGAACTTCACGCCGTGCTCCTTGAGCTGGCCGGAAGACAGCAAGTTCGCCTGGACGCCTGGAACGTAGAGCACACCAGGAAGGAGAATCTGCTTCCCCGTCTCCCCTTGCAGAGCGACGGTGCCACGGCCTTCGACGTTCTGCAGCGCCCCGTTGAAGCCACGCACATGCTTGACATCGCCGCGAGGCTTCATCTCGACGAACGCCTCCTTCGTCCCCATCAGATGGTGGGAACATCCGCTGTCGAGCAGCACCACCGTTAGATTTGCCTGCACAGCAGCGGCGACGGCCTTGAAATCTTCGCCAGCCTCCAGCACCAGCAAGATCGTCGGCTCCACCACGCCGACCATCGAGCACGAAGCCTCCTCGCCACGAGTGTTGCCGCCAGAGGAGTCAGCATTCTTTGTCGAAGATGGCTTCGACGGCTGCTTCTCCTTGCGCGGCTGGTTGTCCCGACGACGACGGCCACCTTCTCCCTTTTTGTGGTTGGCGTCCCGGTCGTCGTTAGAGTCGTCTCTGTCGGGGCAGTCGTACGAGAGGTGGTCGGGAGCATCGCAGATGTACCAACGACAGCCTTCTCGACGCGAGCCACTGCTGCCGCGATCTCCACCTTTCGCCTACTTTCCGCGGTCGGCGCCCTCCGTCGATTTCTCGTTTGATAACTTCCCGCCACCGCCTCCACCTCCGCCCGACTTCCCACGCTGCCCCGTCTGACGTCCCTGCTTCGTCGGAGCAACGTAGTTGGCCTGCGGAAGGAGCTCTGAAGACCGCTCAGACTCCTGCATGAACTCATCCTGGATGATGTGACTCGAAAGCGAATCCTCGTTCAGAGTCTCGCGCGTGCCGGGAATTGTCAGCATCCGGCGCATCAGATTGTAGCTCGAGGGGAGGCCACTGATGACATGAGTGACATACGACGCCACCGAGTAGTCGACGCCGGCCATCCGCAGATCAGCCAGAACTCGCCGCGCTCGATTGCAGTACTCGGTCGCCGATTCCTGCTCCCCCATCCGAATGTTGGTCAACTTCCTCTCCAGCTGACTGATGTAGAGGTCGTCGGTCGCTTTGTAGGTGCGCATGATGTACTGCCATGCTTGGTAGCCAGCATCCACCTGTTGTCTGCACGACGTCAATGCGACCTGCACCAGAGGCGAACAACACCTCGAAATGACCATGAAGGTTAGTAGATGAGCAGCGCGAAATTCCGCCCAGAGTTCAGAGTCGTCTGCGTCCGGCGTCGCAACAATGTCATCGACAAACTTCTTCAATCCGGCGATCTCCAGCTGCGGTTCAATGGATTCGATCCACGTGATTAAGTCGTGGCGTCCTTCGAGCGGCTTCGGCACAGCGATCTTGTCCGGCGAAAATTTGAAGTAGCCATACGCCGGCGCGATGCCTCCATCTCGACCAGCCGAAGCATGAGTCGTCGAGGAGATTGACGTCGACCATCGACGTTGCCGTTCGAGCTGCCTCCAGTCGCAGACGATCGCAGCACTTGCGCCTGCACTCCGTCAATGCTGACATCGGTGGGCCGTATCACTCCGCGAACCCTCGTGCTTCCACCGCCGACAACATTTCCGCCATCGCCTTCGTTGTGCATGGGTCGGGGACAGGCGGACGCGACGTCTGCTTCTGCACGGGGAGGGGGGTGCTCACGCGCCCACTGCGCACGAGTTCCAAGGAGCAGAATCTCCAAGTCCGCCTCGCCGTACCCGACCCAATGGGCACCGACTTCAATGGGCGTCGGGTTCGTGGGGTCGACCTGGGGGCCGCCGACTTCATGGCGCCAACTACGAGAAGCCAACTTGGTGTAGCCGGCATCCAACAACGCTGGACAACTAGAAGTGGTCGACCTGGTGAAGTGGCTGACGTGGTTCGTGGTCGTTGACCTGGGTGGTTGACGGGCACGAAGATCAGCACTTGGTTGGCATGGTTGCCCGGTCGACCAAGTTATACGGGCGATGGGGATCTGTGGAAGTGCAGAGCGGTCGCCCAGGTGGTTATGGCGAAGCTGACCTCGAAATTCGTATTCCAAGGTCGACGTGGCTGGTAGGCACAGCCGCTGGCGTGTACTCGGCCAGGCGTCTGCGCTGTGCACATGACGGAGCGTGGCACGCCAACTTGCCGTGCGCACCTACGAAGCAGGTGCACCACTATCCTACGGATGCAACGCTGTGCGCACGCCTTGCTGCAGCGTTGGTACACTGAGACTTGCAACGTTGGCAAGCAGCTTCTCTGCTTCGCTGGCTGTGTGAGCTACGCAGTGCTGGAACGCGGTCGACTTGCATGCTTGCTAGCTCTAATGTAGTCTATCTTGCTAATGTTATTGCCATCATTCTGAACCTCTGTTGTGAACTTCTGCTTGTGGAACTCCTGCCAATTCTCCCCGTGAATGTGCGCATAGAGGGAACACAAGCAAACGACTAAGGAACGCAGAGATCACCCCTCAAAATCGTGCCTACCCTGTAGAATAGCTCATGTTGTACGAGTTATCTCCACAGACACGTCTCAAGACGATTCTTGTGAAGAGGGCGATGAAAACAGGGGTGCAAGGCTACGCTGTACAGCCATACAAGGTGGCAGCATTTGAGAAGATCGCCGATATTGACACGCTCTGCGCTGTTGTACCGGGGGACATGGCGAGCATAATTTGGAGGTATCCCGATTTTTTTGCGGATGACCTTTTCAACAGCTTGTCACCTCAGCGACCAGAAGACTAAATGGTAAACCAGGCTGGTGTAGGGAGCGACACGTCGGGGGATCAGAGTGCTATGCACTAGGAAGGCTTGGTACAACTGCCATCAGGGGTAAGGGTTGTCTAGTTCGCTAACCAACTGGGCTAAAAGGGCATGTTTCCTTGGTGGGTCAGCGCACCCATACCCTCCCAGGACGACACCTGTAGCCCTTGGGAAGACCACTTTGGGCCATTCCAGTGTCCATTTCCAACAAGGGTAAGGGGGGAAAGGGGGGAGAAGGGCGTATTGAGGGATAGGGAGGGATAAGTGAAAATTGATTAGATGCAAAATTATGATTCATGTGGGATGCTTGGTGCAGAGCGAGGGAGGGATGGGGAGAGAGGTGGGGAAGGAGAGGTAGAAATTGAGATGCAATATATGATTTCGCGGGATGTCCGATGCATCTCCTCCCCCCTTTGTTCCCCCCATTTTCCCCTCCTAACCCCCCAGCTATGCACCTTCTGGTTTCTTATGAGCCTCACGAACAGTCTGGGGCAGAAGAAGGGGGCATGGGGCCTTCTTTTAGCTGCCAGCAGCACATGCCTCCCTCCCTCTCCTTCTCAAATTTTACTCTCACCCCAGTCCATCGCTCCCCCCGCATGAATTTCACTTGCAGCTGACCGTGATGCGATTGCTGAGCGCCGACCTATGGGTGTAGCTCATTCTTAAGTTCCCTTATCTAATATACTAGATCTTCTGCTAGGTCTACTAAATTCATGCACCTGCTAAGCTGCAGCATGATGTTGTTATCATAAGAGAAATTAAAGAAGTTGGTTCAGTAGTCACAACCTTCATTCAAACCGCTGTGAATCTGCGTTAAAACCGGGGTCTCAAGTTTCCCGAAGTTGCCTCATCCTTCCTACCTTTGGTTGGGTTACAGAGTACAACCAACCTTCCTACCTTTGGTTTTGTCACAAAGTCCAACCAACCTTCCTACCTTTGAAACCTGTGGACCCTGGGTTTTAAAGAGATGGGTGCCACCAGGCCTCATAAATTTAGGTGCGAAGATGACTCGGAATTTGGTTGTAAATTTGCGATGAAGGGGAAATGCAACCACGCCTCAGGAATTTAGTTCTTGAGACATCTCAAAACTCGGTCGTGAACCTGCGATAAAGAGACAGTTGCCACCACGCCTCAATGATTTAGGATGTTCGTTTCAGGTAGCTGGTTGTTTGTAGTTAACCTTCTGATACCAACCTAACAAAATTTTGGATGAATCCTATCCCGGTTTGTTCAGGGTGCAGGCAGAAGGTACCGTGTATGCCTGTATGAAGTGCCTTTGCGTGCAAGGCTACATTGCATTTCTTCATACACAACTAGGGGGCATGATACAAACGCCTGGGAAATGGGACTTGGGCCTGGAAAAAAGCACCCCGCAATTCTCAGAATTTACCCTGTGCTGGTAAGAAACTACTACCACATACATAACCTGTATCCATTTGTATACACCTAAAAAACAAATTAATTAAAAACAAATGGAATACATGGCATGCCTCTAACTAACGCAAGCTCGTGAAAGCAGATTTCTCGTGCCAAAATTCATCCAAGGATTGTGCATGCACTGGCCACTCTAGGTGTTCATTGCCAAGGAAGGACATCGACTCGAGTAATCTATCGTAATCTGTTAGCACCTTTCTATCATCTCCTCCATCCTCCTGTTGCTTATAACGGGAGGAATCCACACCCTCTTGAACTCCACTCATGCACATTTGACTGTCATCCATCCCTGCCTGACCGCCGGCCAAGCCCATTTGACCGCCGCCCATGCCGGATTGACTATCAAAGGTGTTTGCTTCACCATCGCACATGACAATCTGGCCACCTCCCATTCCTATTTGTCCATCATCACATGGACCCTCCTTCTGCTGCAAGAATGCTTGAAATGATGGCATTTCCTTTTGGGCTGACACTGCTGCTGCTGCTGCTGCTGCTGCTGCTGCTGCTGCTGCTGCTGCTGCTGCTGCTGCTGCTGCTGCTGCTGCTGCTGCTGCTGCTGCTGCTGCTGCTGCTGCTGCTGCTGCTGCTGCTGCTGCTGCTGCTGCTGCTGCTGCTGCTGCTGCTGCTGCTGCTGCTGCTGCTGCTGCTGCTGCTGCTGCTGCTGCTGCTGCTGCTGCTGCTGCTGCTGCTGCTGCTGCTGCTGCTGGCGGTGGTGCTGTGGTAGCTACCGTTGGTGGTGCTGCAGTATCTAACACTGATGATGGCATAACAAGGCTTGACGCCTGAGGCTCTGCCTCAAGCTGCCACAGAAGCAAGTCCATGGAATGTGCATTGAGTGACGGTGACTGGTTGAAAGGCTGTAGCATGTCCGCATGTGAAAGCGACAAAGGTGATTGCAGCAGTGGTGCTGCAGGCAGCACAAATGCAGGTGACAGTATCGTTGGCCCTGCTGCCAGCAGATTTGCAGGTGATTGTAGCGGAGACCTTGCTGACATCAGATCTGCAAGTGATTGTAATGGTGGACCTACTGACAGCGGATTTGCAAGAGACTGTAGTGGAGACCTCGCTGACACCAGATCCACAAGTGATTGTATTGGAGGTCCTGCAGAAACCAAATCTGCAGGTGACTGTAGCATTGACCTTGCTGTAGCTTGAGTCAGATGCGATGGGGTGTGATGGAACGGGGTGTTTTGAGATTGTGTGTGGTGGAAAGAGGTGGAATGTGATGGGGTGTGCCGGGATGGCGAAGGATACGATAGGCCATGTTGGGTTGTCACATGATGAATCGGGGGAGGTTTGAAAGGGGAGTGGTCAGTTCGGGCAGGATAGGTGGGGGCAGGATAGGCTGGGGCAGGATAGGTTGGGGCAAGATAGGTTGGGGCAGGATAGGTTGGGGCAGGAAAGGTTGGGGCAGGATAGGCTGGGGCAGGAAAGGTTGGGGCAGGATAGGTTGGGGCCGGATATGTTGGGGCGGGATAGGTTGGGGCAGGATAGGTTGGGCAAGCCAGATCCGAGTCTTCATGCTGCATAAACTGCAGTGAGAAAATCCACAGGAGGGGAAAGAGTGTTAGCAGGAGAAATGTAAGAAGAGAAACCTAGCGAATAGCGTGTAAGGAGAAGCGAGGACACACACACACACACACACACACACACACGCACGCACACGCACACACACACACACACACACACACACACACACACACACACACACACACACACACACACACACACACACACACACACACACACACACACACACACAGGGTGGTCACCTCGTTCTCGATCTTGGCCGATGGATCGAACAAGGTAGCTTCCATAGATCTAGGAAATGCAGGTGCGATTTGAGTGAGAGTTGAATCAGGAACAACAGTAGAAGTGGCACCAGAAGAAGCAACGATCTGAGCAGCATCAGGAGTGAATCGCAGACATTCTTGCATAGGTGACGCCCCAACTTGAGTGTGGGAAGAAAAAGTGAGGTTCTGGCAAGCATCCAATGCACGCAGCACCTCTGCTGCCTCTGGCACAGCAGTAGCAACAACACCAGCATTACGACCAGCAGCAGCAGCAGCAGCAGCAGCAGCAGCAGCAGCAGCAGCAGCAGCAGCAGCAGCAGCAGCAGCAGCAGCAACAACACCACCTCCAGCAGCAATGCCGGAATGCATGCTTGCTGCAACCTCTGAAGTCGGAGCGTTAGCCACAGCAGCAGCAGCAGCGCCACCAGCATCATCAATGCGAGCAGCGCCACAAGCAGTGTCACCAGCAGCACCAAAATCAGCGCCACCAGCAGTGTCACCAGCAGCACCAAAAGCAGCCCCACCAGCAGCGTCACCAACAGTGCCACCAACAACGCCACCAGCAGCGTAACCAGCAGTGCCACCAGCAATGCCACCAGCAGCGTCACCAGCAGTGCCACCAGCAACACCACCAGCAGCGCCACCAGCAATGCCACCAAAAACGCCATCAGCAGCATCACCAACAGCTCCGCCAGCAGCTCCAGCAGCAATGCATGAATCCATGCTTGCAGCAGGAGCCAGGCCCGCCGTGCCTGGAGCATCAACGAAGCTGCTGCTGCTGCTGCACACACCAACAACACCTTGAGCTGCGTGCGTGCAGGCACTGCTGCTATCATCCGCGCCGTTCAGCTGCTGCTGCTGCTGCTGCTGCTCTCCCTTCTCCATCGTTCCTTGCCTCTGGACCATCCTTAAGAGCACTACCTCCAATTCAGCCGGCGTCAGAATCTCCTGCAGAAGCATTGCAACATCACGGTTGATGCCTTCGCCAACCTTAGCACTTGCAAGAATCTGCCAGTCTTGCAGAAGAGCCGCTGCTGCTGATGAACTTGCTGGGGCTGTTTGGCCTGCTAGTCGTTCTACAAAGGCTGAAGCTGCCATGCCTGCTGGTTCTGTGTGTTCTGCGGGTTCTGCCATGCCTGGTGGGTCTGCCGGACCTGCTGGGTTCGGAAACTGGTTCGGGAAGTGCTGTGGGCATCCAACGCTGCCCCGCTGCAGCACCCCTTGAGTAACGCAGGTTGTTGGTGACAGCAGAGGGAAGAGCAATGCATCGCCGCCAGCAGCAGCACAAAGCGGCCCAGCAGGCAAGTGTGGAGCAGACGCAGAGCTTCCAGCAGGCCAAGGCAGCCCGTCGTGGCTACACGACAATGTCCTTTGAGAGCTCTCAAAATCACAGGTAGCAGCTGAAGGGCGTGGAGTAGGTACGGCTGAGAAGTGTGGAGCAGCCGTGGCTGAGAAGTGTGGAGCAGGCGCACAGCTGCCAGCAGCAGGCGTCGACGGCTCATCCTGGCAGCAACTGGCGCCACGCCTCCTCACAGGGCCATCCTGCATAGCTTTTGCCGTCACCGCTCTCTGCCGCTTTGAAGCCTGGTGAATCAAATCCCCAGGTTGACCCTCAGCTTGGCTGCTCTGCACTGTCTCTTTGCCAAGTGCCATAATCTGCTCGTACGTACTCCCAGTAGTGCTCCGATGCGTTGCGCCGGCGCTTCTGTGCGAGAGGACAGAAGGTGCAAGGGCAGCGCAGGCTTCCTTCGGTTCATGGACGGAGACATGAGATGGGATGAGGTCCGTGAGTGTCTTAGATGCATTCAGGATCTCCTTGGGATAGCTGAGAGGTTTCTCCTTAGAAACGTACCGAGGCATTATCATGCGCGGTCCACCGCGCAAGCCCGTCAGAGGATTTTCAGGGCCTTACAATGGCGAATGAGCCGAATCACTGTGAGGCTTCAAGAGGGCAGTGATGGGAGCTGTGCAGGTTGTCGCTTCTTGGAAAGGAGCAGCCATGGGGGCGGTTGTCAGGGCGTCGCTGCGGCGGCAGCGTTTGAGGCACAACGAGGAAGGGTGGTTGTGGAAGCCTGAGGTGGTCGTCCGCACCACCTTGCGCATCTCCATGCGCTCAGTCGGGCAGATGGGGCCTTCATTCTCCGAACCAGGAGCCACCGCGTGATCAGCAACATTGGCACAATCGACAACGCCAGCATTGCGGGCAGCAGCAGCAGCCACAGCAGCAGCAGCGATGGCAGTAGCTGCGGGTGGCACGGGTGGAGCTGCGGTGTGCTTGCCGCGGGGCGGGCCGGCGATGCGGTCCTCCACCTTCCGCGCCGTGCATCCCGTGACGGCCTTGCACACACACGTGAAGTAAAGCCTGAGAACGTGGGAAGGGGAAGGGGAAGAAGAAGAAGAGGAGAGAGGGGGGAGGGTTTGGGTAGGGTTTGGGGGGGGGGGATAAAGAGAGAGAGGAAATGTGATGGAAGAAATGCAGCTTTTGACTGGCTCACTGATCGGCCTTGCACACACACGTGATGTGGATCCTGGAAGAGAGAAGCAAAGGGACCACTGGAGATAATTTTCTGCATTTATACGGCCTTTCACACACACGTGAAGTAGATCCCGGAAAGGAGAAGCAAAGGGATCATTAGAGGGGGAAACATTTTCTGTGTTTATATGGCCTTCACACACACATGAAGTAGATCCTGAGAAGGGGTGAAGGAGGGAGAGAATGTGAGAGATGTACACACACGTGATGTAGATTCTGGGTCCATGGAATCGTAGAAGAGAGGTAGGGAGAGGATTCTGTTTTTTAGTCAACTCAGGCGTCCACTTTTTGCCAAGTCGGCTCTTGCAGACACATGAAAAGAAGCAGATCCTCAGGATGAAATTCAGTTATTCTACCTGGAATTGCGCACACACGTGACGTGGATCCAAAGGGGGGGGGGGGGGGGGGGGGGGGGGGGGAATGAGAGAGAGATGCGGGAGAAGACTGTTGAAATTTTGAGAGGGGGGGGGAAGAAAGGAGAAGAAAAATGAGGGGGGTCTTTCTTTGGGATGTCCGAATGAGTGGACGGGAACACTGTAAAACTATTCCTCAAAATGCTTACACAAAACGCTCCTAAGCCTTACCTTTTCACAGTCCGTTGGCAGAGCCACTTATGGGAGACTTTCTGCCAGCGGAAACGACTCAAGTCTTCTTCCATTTATTCCAAGGAGGAACGCTCTGGTGCGCACCTCAGATGCCAATGCTGCTGTCGGTTGTGGTTATTATTGCAATATGTTTTTTCCAAGACGGTTTATTATCTTACTATTTTAAGTTAGATTGTTTGAGCTTCACCAAAATGTAATCTCCAAATTGACAGATGCAGGGCAACAATAAAGTGTAACCTTAGAACTCCTGATAGCAAGGCTGAAAATCAAAGAAAGTGGATGCCCTAATCTGCTTGCGCAGTGCTGCTGAGCTCAAATTGGAAAGATTGCTTGAAAGGGAAGGAATACAGCAAGTGGAAGTGGGAGGGAAGGAAGGCAGTTGCTTGCAAGATTGCCCAGTGACCACTTATCCCGTGGTTTGGAACGGTGAAACACTGTCGTGGAATTTTTTGCTACAATACAATGGGTGCCTCACTACAGTTGAGTGGATACGTTGGAAAGAACTGTTTACTGTAGTACAGTTCGAAAAAGTCTCTAGCTAGATGAATCCCATATTAGAGATAACTGTTCCGCAAGCGACAAGGGTACAGCTGGAGGTGTTGCGATGTGCGATGGTGCATTGGCGAAATACACGTACACAGGATGCCCGTTTGACTCCCACAACTTTTCCGGTCATTTGGGTGTCTAGTGCGCAGCCCTTTTTCGCCAGCTCGCCGAAATTCGCCACGGGCAAAATCGGGACTGTAGTGGGCAGGTGAAGAAATGTAACCAGCTTCTTCAAAATATCTTACGAACGGACGGATGCCAGCGTGATAAGCTGTTTGTTCAACGGCTACGATCAAAATGGGGGCTTGTATCGAGAGTGCAACTGGCTGGTGCTACTTGCAATTGGGCAGGCTGTCGAGCTTGGGCAGACCAAATGCGCGTGCACTGGT